GGATATATTAAACTCTTGGCCTGTTGCATGGTTCTTTGGGAGACTCTGACAAGGTATTTAAGCCAGTCAGACTATTTACATTATGACTCTCCAAAAAATAATAAGCACTCATCATTTAAATAATTGATTTCTCTGTACAGTAAGCATTTTATTTTATTTTATTTTTAAAAAGCTGATTAAAGGAGTGAAGAATTCCACTTATCCTATTTTATTTTCAAGAACTATTTAAGTGCTGAACTGAAACTCTACCTGTCCAATCCTGCGTTTTAAGCTGTGTAATTGGTTTTGGCAGCAGCCGGACAAATTTGTTTGGGTGTCAAAGCAAACCAGATTCAGGACTGATCAGTTTGTGATTGGGAGACCACTGGGAGGTCTTAGGGCCACAGGTGTAGGCTCAATAGGAACAGAACACTATTCTAGAAGAAGGGCAAACCACTTCTGTCCTACTAGCTGTGACTGTCTAGTTATCAGGAGTTGAGATTACACAAAGAGTCTTTAGCTTGCATTTGTATGGTTCTCAGAACTTGTTCAACTTGATTCTCCAAAGCCACAGCACATTGTTTCTTCCAAGATAATCTTTTAAGGGACACTAGATGACCCACGACCTGTTTCCTTACCTAAAACGAGAAACAGGAATAACTGCTAACAATCAGCTGTGAAATGAGACAATTGCAGAGTTTTGGGTCTCCAACAAAGTGAATCACATTGTGTTTGCAGGGTGCGATGCCTCACTAAACTGCCTCGCAGAGGTCTAATTTACTTTTCCAGGCCTATAATCTGAGAGCAAAATCAGTATGATGCAGAATGTTTTCCAATGCATATAATTATTCTAATCTGGCTACTTAGCATAAGGAAGGCAAACAACAACCAAGCACAGCACAAGAGAAAACAGCAGCAGCTTTCAGCCCTAATTTGAATAGGAGTTTAGCTCTGGTTAAGGCTGGATGTTTAGTCACAGAACATGTAATTAAAAAGGTGGTTTTCTTTTTGTATTCAATACACAGAATGACAAACAAGCCAGCCACATTTTAGCCTAGTACATTGAAAGAAGACATGTTTACTGTATGGTTCAATGTTTGGCATGAACCCAGTTAACTGGGATGAATAAACCATCCGTTAACCATGGATAAGCATCTCACAAACATATGTCCATACAACATAACTACATCACACTGTTGGAAGAAAGGCCTTCATCGTGGTTCATCCAAGCTGGGAATAAACATGGCAACTGCTTTGGGAAGAAGGTTGTAGTTTATTGGAGAGGAGAGCCAGACAGGAAGATGGTTCTGGCAGCAAGAGAAGTGGAAAAAAGGGCTGAGCACATGTGGGAAGTGGATTTTTATACCCTCTGGAGCCTTTTGTTTGGAGTTATTTCCTGTTCCTGTTTTGAGGCTATTTCCTGTGTCATGTATTCTGACCTAAGTTTGGGTGTGCCCTTTGGCCTTTGTGAGTTAATCCTACCATGTCCTGTCTCAGGTGGGGTATGTAGTTTTTAGGTCTTTGTCTTCCTAATCTCCTAGCTCCAACTTTCCTTATGGTTTACATCTGCATTTGTATAGAGCTGGCTTCTGCTTGGGGGAGGGAGACCTGGCGCTATCAGGAAAAACTGGGCCTTTCTGCCTCTTTAAGATCCTCTGAGGAAATATATTTTTCTGCCCTTTTAATATTTCCTTCTCTGGGGGGCTGACTTCCCACAACACTTAAATCAATAATTCATTTTGTTTCTATGCACAACATAAGTGTGCATTCTACACTATAGCTTATTGCTTAGCATGTTTTGTAAACCCTGTAAATTGTAGCTCATTCAAAATATATGATAAGACAGTTAGACCATTGCAACAGGTAACCTAGTCACTGAAATGGTAACTTTCTCTGTATTATGGAAGTTTTATTTCATGTATGTTACCATGGAGTAGTAAAAGATACGTAACCAATCAATGTGGCAGGAAGACCTTACAGGATGTTAAAGAAACAAAAGGTTGCAATTGTATTTTTTGTATTATATTGCACTGAAAAAGTCAAAAGTCACCACTTTTTTCTCTTCCTCTTTACATTTTTTCTTTCTCAACTTTTTTCTGTATTTTTATTTTGTTGTAAGGTTTTCCACTTAGCCTCACAATTGTCCCAGCACTGCTCAGGAATTTAAAAGAGCCAAAAGAAACTCCTGAGCTGACGTTTCAGCAAAGAATTACAACTTTATTTTGATCAAAACAGAGAGGGGTGGCTTCATCCCTCTTCGTGGCTGGTAGTGGAATGAAGGCAACAACCAGGAAAGATGTCTTCTTTATACCTTTTCAGAACAAAAAGATCAGGTCTCTGTATCAGGAGCAAGGTAGCACAGGAAAACAATTCCAAGACGATGACTCATACACAGCAACCCAGGCTCCATCCGTAACTCCTTTTCCCCCTCCCCTTACCGTGCTCTTTTCATGTAAGCAATCTCCTGGATGTTTAACATGAGACTTTTACTTTTCCAATATACATAAAGCATCCACTCAGGCAATCGGCTACAAAATAATGATTACAAAATAACAAAACAATGATTACATAGTAACACTACAAGTATCAATATAAAATGGTTACTATATAAATATATATAACAGCTGTGAGTGTCAAGCTTAAACATACTAAAATCATAAACACAATAAAATCCCTTCATTGTAATTAGATTTAATTAAAATATTTTTAAAAGATGCTAAAGTAAGAGGAAGTTTGGATTTATCTGATTTGAAATGATAGTTTGCAGCTTGTTGTTTACTTTATATGAAAGAGTGGGTGAGGCTAAGAAATAGAAAAATTAGGAGGACATGATTTGAGGTTTGGGTGGCACAGCTATTGATGGCATGATAAAGTTAAGGTTAATGAAGATTTTAAAAATAATTTTGTTAGATGTGCCACATGGAGAAGATGGAGTAGATATAAATCCAGATTGTGTCAAAAAATGCCTCTGTAGCTCTTACCACAGTAAGCATATTGTAGAAGAAAAATAATAAACACAAATGGTTATATCAGGATTTTCCTAAGATTATTTTAAAATAAAGAGATTTGAACTAAGTATATAATGTCAGTGGTTTTCTTATATACAGTATCAGAAAGATTTAAAGTAAAAAGACTTTTGGTTTTGAATATTGTAAAAATGAAACAGAATTATGTACAAATGCTAAGCATATTACAGCTGAAATGTATTGCTTTTATTAAAATTTGAAATGGAAGAACATGTGAAAGAATGTATAATAAAATAGGCTAATATTTGGTTATAATATAAAAATGGAAGGATGGGAGAATATGTGGATGAAATTCAAGTTATGTTATAATCTTAAATCTTTGCAAAATGATCATTGATATTATTCACCAGAAAAATTTGTTGAAAATGTACTATAAACATACATATGTTGTAAAATACAACAAAAGCGGACTTTTTATCATGACGGTGGAAAAAGATTTGGAAAAAAAATTGGAACTCTGATATTATATATGTTGACAGCAGCAAAAGTACTTTACAATCAAAAATGGAAGGATGTTTCGATTCCCACCATGGATGAATGGCTACAAAAGTTGATGGAGTTAGCAGAGATGACTAAATTGACTGTGCTGATAAAATAAAAGAATATAAGTACTTTTGTTTCTACTTGGAAACCACTTCTGGACTTTGTGCTTGAGGTGGGAAAAAAATGATACTTTGATTTTGGATTTTACTGATTATACTGATTTGTTGTTACAGAAATGGCTAGTTTATACTACTATAGAAATGTAAAAAGTTGAGGTTCAATGTTAATGCCTTATTTTACTGCAATAGAGGGAATTGGAAGTCAACACTTTTTTTCCTCCCCCCCCATTCCACATTTCTCTTTTTCCCTTCCCCTTCTCTTTATTCCTTACTATTTGCTTTTGTATTTTAGTATTTTATATTATAAGCTAATAAAAACTGTGATAAAAAAAGCAAAAAAGCTAAAAAATGGATTAATTCAGAAGATTTTAAAGATTTATATACAAGTGAAGCCGGAGATGTTTCTTTTAGAACTGATTGATAAAAAGCTGGAAAAAACGCTTATGGAACATTTTTAAAATAAATATAACAGCAGTGATACTTTTATATGTACAATGGTGGAAAAAATTGATATTATCCACAATGGCACAGGGGATAGTGAAGATGATGGAACTTACTGAAATGGCAAAACTGACCGTTTTGATTAGAGAAAAGACATGGATTCATCTTAATGCTGACTGGAAACCCCATCTGGACTTTGTGTGTGAGACAGAAAGATTATGATGTGTGATTTTAATGATTAGAAAAAATAATAGTTAATAGAAAAAAATGAAAGCAATGTTGTAAACCTTAGACTATGAGGTCAATTTAAATTTATACTTATAACTGTTGTAAAAGAGCAGGTTCAGTCTAGCTGTTAAGAAAATTAGAGTCGGTGAATTTTATCCCCATTTTAGTCATGAAAGCCAAGTGAATGACTTTGGGCCAGTCACGTTCTCTTAGCCCAACCCACCTCACAGGGTTGTTGTTGCTGTTGTTGAAGGGAAAATAGGAGGAAGGTGTGTTGGACATGTTTGCTGTCTTGAATTATTTGTAAAAATAATAAAGGCAGGATATAAATAAATAAATAAATAAATAAATAAATAAATAAATAAATAAATAAATAAATAAATAAATAAATAACACCAGAATCATTTCTTATATTTCTTTTTCTTTCTTTCTGCACTTTTTCTTTGTCCTTTACTTCCTTCTCTTTCTTCTCTTAATCATTAGTTTCTGTTAGTTTCTTGTGTTTTTAGTGTAAAAAGAAAAATCCCAAACCGTTATCTTATTTTTTTTTTAAAAAAAAAATTCCCACTTGGAAAAGATCAACGCCGAAGCACCCGCGGATCCTTCTCCTGGATCCTTCTCAGGCACCGCCAGAGGGCAGCCGCGGGCCTTCACGAGCTTCCAGAGCTGCCGTTCTCTGTGGTTCGCGGAAGGGGCCGCGGCGGCCAGAAGCAGGCCTCTTCCCCCACGGTGGCCTGGCAACATGTGGAGCCGGGGGAGAGCCTGCGCCTTCTCCGCGGGACTGTTGCTCGGGGCCCGCCGTCTGAGCAACGGCGGGGGCCGGAGGAAAGAGGCCGCGGCCGCCGCTTCTTCCTTCTTTCTCAGCCAGCCGGTGAGTGTGCTTGGCTTGCGCAGCGGTCCCCAGGAGGGCGGAAGGAAAGACACCAGGACTTGCCCAGATCGTCTTTTTTTGGGGGGGGGGAAGGAGAGAGTAGGCCTTGGCAGGGACCTTGGCGGAGGATTTGAACTTCATTTCCCGCGCTTCTAGGCGAGATAGGCGTTGCCTCTGTCGGGAAGGGATCGCCCCTGATCCGCTCAGGGCCTCTCGAGAGGCAACTGCGGAGCCTGTCATCCCTTCCTTCGAGCAGCCCGGGGCATCACTTAAGAAGGGGTGTCAAACCTCGGCAGCTTTAAGACTTGTGGACTTCAACTCCCAGCATGGCTGGCTGGGGAATTCTGGGAATTGAAGTCCACAGTTCTTGAAAGTTGCCACCGTTGGACAGCCCTGACTTCTTACATAGTTCGTCCTCCATAAATTGGTATGGTGGCCACTGGCAGTCTTGAGATAAAAAGGCCATAATCGTTCACCTTCGTCCAGGCAATGCATGGGATGGGGAGGGAAGGAGGGAGAAGAAATCAAATTTCCCCACAGGGGCGTTGAAGCTCTTGGAGGCCAGATTTGATGCCTTTCGAAAGGCTGATGAATTCTCCCCAGCTGGAAAGTTGAAACAGGTAAGGGATGGTGTGGCTACCTGAGATACTAGAGGCACTGTTAAATAGATGTATCTGCTACGTGCATTCTGTAGTAATGTGTTGCCAATCCAGAGGGAGGTTTTGAATGATGTGAATGCAACAGAATCAACAGCCTTCAAGAAACGCTTTTGTATTCTGTGCAACCTATGCATTTTTATTGCTTGCACTTAATCATAGTTTGCACTAGGAAAAAAAACAGCATAGTTTATTGATTCCTTTAACTTGTGCTTAAAACCCAAGGGGCATTGCATAGAATGAGAATTACTACTCCCAAAGGTGCTTTTTCACGAGACAACTGGACTTTCTTGTTTTTCTTTGAAGACGATTCACTTCTCATCCAAGAAGCTTCTTCAGGAATTCCCCACCATCCAGTCAGAGCTGAAAAAGCTTCCTGGATGAGAAGGGAAACATCTTCAAAGAAAAACAAGAAAGTCCAGTTGCCTCGTGAAAAAACACCTTTGGGACAACTATGACCTGGATGACTGAGAATCTCCATAGAGATTTACTACTGAATACATATCCTTAGGATTAGCTTGCTTTTATGTTGGCTGAGCTCCTATCCGTTTTTGTAGGAATCGATGTAATCTTCCATTTCTGAGCATTTCTGTAGCTCCATTGTAGGAATCGATGTAATCTTCCATTTCTGAGCATAGAGTGATCTTGCTGCTGTCAACATATATAACATCAAAGTTCCATATATTTTTTTCCAGGTCTTTGTCCATTAGTCCCAAGAGAAAAGTCTCTGGTTTTCTTTATTTAGTTTAAGAATTTTCTGTATTAACATATGAATCCTATCCCAATATTTTCTTGCTTTATCACATGTCCACCATAAATGGTAAAATATCCCCTCTTTCCTTTAGATTTCCAACATTCATTTGAAATACCTTTATACATTTTTGATTAACTTGTCTGGTGTTAAGTACCAACGGTAGAATTCTAGAAAAATTATTAATTCCTTCATTCATTTAGTTTCTATAGCTACCTAATTCAATCAAGTGATTCTGGGCAACTTACAATTCTAAAATTATAAAACAATTAAAAACATTAAAACAGTGAAAACATCCACAAAATAATTAAGTTACAGTCCCAACCCCTCTATAGGTCACATTTAAGTTTGAAACTTTTTTTTTACAGGATGTTCATCTGCACTTTTTAGACCATGTTCTGATAAACAGAGTCAAGAGTATTCAGCTTATATTTGAAAGAAGCACAGGAACTCTCATAGACAAAAGGTATGTTGTATATACAATTGATAATGTATTGTATTATGTTTTTCTCCCCAAAGGCTAAATTAGTGAGCAAAACAAAAATTGATATCTGGCACTTCAGAGCTGACATTAACCAAAGCCAGTGCCCATAGTGATTAAGTTTCATCAAGGAGATGTTGACTCTTAGCAACCACATAGACAAACTTTGTCAAAAATGATCTGTTGTCTATCTGACCTTTTAAGTCTGTAGTGAATTAATAACTATTGCAATTCAGTTCCACCAACTTGCTACTGATCATGCACTCTACTTTTTTTTCAGCGTTATGAACTTCTCAAGCTGGATCTTTATGTAATATGTCTAAAATATGATAGTTGAGCCTGGTCACTTGTGCCTCAAGTGAAAACTCTGGATTGGTTTGTTTTGTGGTCCAGTGTTTGTTTTTCTGACTATTCATAATATTAGCAAGAATCTTTTTCAACATCAAAGTGTCAATACTCTTTCTAATTTGCTTCTTCAAAATGCAACTTGCACACTCATAGAATGTCACAGGGAAAACTACTGTCTTCGTCATTGTAATGCTTCTAAATATGGACGCATTTTGGCATCCAAATATCTTTTTCAGCATCTTGTTGCTATCCTACCAAGTGATACTATGGCATCTTTGTTGACTGCTGCCTGTTCACTGTTGATGGTCAATCCAGCACTTCAGTGACTTCATTATCATTTCAAAGGCTTTTTACCGTACCAATTATCATTGGTTTGATCATCTTTATATTTAATCTTAATTCCATTTTTCCCGCTTTCTGACTTTAATTACTACAACTTTCACATCATTTATAGCTTTCAAAGTAGAGTCATCAGTCTATCAGAAGTTATTAATATTTTGTCCAGTTTTAAACCATGCTCATCTTCTACCAATACAGCATCCCTCAAATAAATAAATAAGGAGAGTATACAGTACAGCCTTATCTCACTCCTTTGTCCACTTGGAACCAGTCTGTTGTTGTGTTGCTCAGAATTGGCTTTCTGTTGTGCATATAGGTTTTGCATGTGAGAGATTCTGAGACTCCCATTTTCCTTTGGACATTCGCTGGCTGACATGAGCAGTATAATTCAGGGCCTTTCTATAGCCAATAAAACACATATTGGTCTTTTTTTTGCATTCTTTGACTTTTTCAATTCTCCATCATACACAAGCAATAATGTTCTTTATTCCTTGGTCTTTTCTAAAACCAGTTTGAACTAATGGTATTTCCCCTTTGTGCCTAAGACTCTAACCTGTTTTGGATGACCCTAAGCATTATTTTACTAGGATGTGAAATTAAGGATGTGGTATAATAGTTTGCACAAGTCTGTTAAATCTCTATTCTTTGATATTGATGAGTAGATTCAACTCTTTCAGACTATTGACAACTGTATTCTCCCCATTGGCTTGCAAAATTTGGTTAGAATCTCTCTTGATTCTTTTGTTGTTCCCATGGCATTCTATCCTCGTAATGACTGGAATGCTGATTTAACTTCCAGCACTAGAAGTTCTTACAAACATGAATATATATGTATCTTCTAGGTATCTTGGATATTGATATATTTACTGTGCAGTATTTCAGTATACTTCACATTTGTTTGATCTGGTTTGAATAAGTTATTGTTTACTGACATCCTTTAGCATACTAGGTTTGGGGTTGGAATATCCTTCTGAGTTTGGAGATCTTTTGGAAAATGTTGTTTTTCTGTGGCTGTTTCCATTTTAATGTCTTTACCGTGGTAATGCTGTGGTAATGCTTCTTGTTTCCTCTAAGAGCTTTCTGAAATTCTTTGCTCAGTTCCTGTACCTTTCTTAGCTTTAGCTTATCTTGTGGGCAATTTGTATCAACTCTCTTCTCATCCAGTTGGTTTCTTCTGTTTCTTGGTCTTTGGAAATATATTTTCACATTCATCCTAAACAGTTTCTTTGATTTAATTCCACAGTTCCTATGGCTCCCTGTAAATGAGGCTCAGGATTTCATAGTTTTTCCTTTGCGTGGTAAGTATATTGTCAAGATTATATAGTGGAAAGTGGTTTTGTTTTTCCACTTTAACCTGACATGGAGGTTGCACACTAGCAGTTTGTGATCCGTTCCACAGTCAGCCCCTCGTCATGTCTTTGCTGTTTTAAGGGAGCTCTTCCATTTCCTTACATCAATAATACAGTCAATTTGGTTTCTCTGTTGTTCCACCTGATGATAATGATTGTATTGGCAATGAAGAAATTGAATTGGCAGAAACTGACCATTCATTCTGTTTCATTTCTTTTTCCTACCTGTATTTGTAACATTGTCTTTCCAGTTCCCAGTCACAAACAGTGCATCTTGCTTGCATGTTCTATTGATTTCTGATTAAACTTGACCATAACATTCATTCGTCTTCTTCCTCTACACCAGGATCACAGATCTGGATAACTATTCACAGATCGTTAAAGGGTTGTCTACAAAAATCTAATTGATATTATTTGTTCATGAGCTGCATTGTACCAAAATACTGTCTTTGCTATTACCTTCCTGACTATGAAAACAATAGGGTTCTTTTGATTGTTTACATTCTGAGAAGTAAACAGTATGATCTTCTGACTGAAAGTAACCAATTTCACTCTGTTTCAATTCACTGATGCCCAAGGAATCACTGTGTAGTGAGTTCATTTCATTTTTCATTGGGTTGAGCTTTTCCATAATTGGGCTTCTTACACTTTGCGTTCTATTGCATTTCTGTTTTTATAGTTTGGGATTTTCTTTTCTCTGCATGAAAACATCAGTCAGTAGACATCCCATAGGATTTGATCAGACTATGTCATAAAATACTATGTCTACTCTGGAGGATCCATAGCATGTGGAGTGCCATTCAACCTGATGGGCCTATCATCCAGCATTCACTTCATCTTCTCTGTAAGATAAAACATTGATGATGTTACCTTGTTTGGGTAAGGAAACGTACGCAAGAAAATAACCAAGCTAGGAGAATACCAAGGACTTCCCATATCTTCTCTGTCCTTCTGTTTACTTAATAAAATACAGGAGTGCTTTGCTATTTGCCTTCTCCTATGCAGTGTGAAATGATGTCTTTATTGTCACTACAGTGATCATCCACCTCTGACACCTTCCTCTATTGCTGCTGCTGATACTGGTGCTTGCTTAGCTGGGCAGTTAATGATGACTTTCATATCTTGGGTGACTCTTCTGGAAAAATACACTATTTGTGTAACTGCCTCACTCATCTGTCCCCAAAACATCCTCCGCCATATTGAGGCAGCACAAGCTGGGGAATGTTGGAGTTAAGGAATCCTTAACTGAAAGCACATGTCCTCACTAATTTAGTGTAGTAAACCACAGATTCTCATCTTGTAGCATTAATATCATTAGTTCAGCTGCTTCTCTTTCTTGACAGGCAGGACCAAATAACCTTTTTTGTAACCTCTAGATGGCAGAAGAGAGCATCTTCCTAGTTTTTTTAAATCCTGTACTCCGGTCTAGCGGTAGCTATAGGAGTTCTTTGCTAAATGTTACCCTTTCTTTTCTCTGTTCTGCTTCAGAGTAAGTCTGTTACTCTGTTTTTCTACTGGTGCTGGAGGTATTCTTAACTGTTGCCGTAATTGTTGTATATATTGTTGCACAGAAACATTAGGGTTATTGCTAATTTAGCAGCATCCTCCATTACTGATCTACTGAGCCAGTTAGGTCTAGTGCAGGGGTAGGCAACCTTGGCTCTTTTATGACTCGTGGACTTCAACTCCCAGAATTCCTGAGCCAGCCATGCTGAGGGGAAAGGGAGAGGTTTCCAAGCTGAGCCAGGCTGGCTGAGGAATTCTGGGAGTTGAAGTCCACGAGTCATAAAAGAGCCAAGGTTGCCTACCCCTGGTCTAGTGGTTAAGGCACCAGGCTCCCAGACCAGGAGTTCTAGTCCTACCTTAGGCATGAAAGCTGATTGTGTCACTTTGGGCCAGTCACTCTCTATCAGCCCAATCCATCTCACTGGGTTGTTATTGTGTGGAAAATAAGAGCAAGATGTATGTGTTTTGCTGCCTTGAGTTATTTGCAAAAATAATAAAGGCAGGATACAAATAAATAAATATTGAGCAACTTGTGGTCCTTATTTTATTCTTATATGAGATGATGCAGGGTTAATTTACAAGTCACAACCAGAACAGTTTTTGGCACATGAGTCCTTAAAATTGGTGATACTGTTTCAGTGGTATTGAACATAATCTCTTAACTAGCTAGGAGACCGCTCTTTATTGAAATTCCTTCCTTCCTTATAAGCTAGAAAAGAAAATTAGCTTGTTCCTCCTGCAAGGATAGTGAAAGAACAACTAGGCTAAGGATACTTTCCATTCCTGAAAGAAAAGGAATTTGGTAATTCATCCAAAGTTCCATTTGTTGTTTCTAGAAGTTCTGAAATGTACTCGGTGGTTTGTCTCATAGAGAGCTAATTGCTACTATCTAATATATCCAATTTGTTTTAGAAATCCTCAAGTAATAAGCTCAGAATTCTTATATCAGATGGTTGCTTGAATTAAATGAATAGAAATGACTTAATGGCCTGACTAAAATTAAATCTCAGCTGATTTCTCTCCCTGTGGTCTGTAATAAACTTTTCCTCATTCTTTATTAATAAAATCATGAAATGTTTCCAGCACTAGCTAGTAACAAATATCTTCAAGTAGTCTGCATTTTCCCCCCTCTGAATGTTTATATTGTCTCCCTCTTGTTTTCAGCAAGTAAATTTGAGCGAATCTTTATTCACATGACTTTTACAGCTCATTAGATGAAACCAAGTATGAAAAACTTGCGGAAGAAACACTGGAATCGTTAACAGATTTCTTTGAGGACTTGGCAGACAAGCCATTTATTTCTAAAGAATACGATGTCTCCTTTGGGGTATAATGTTATCATTGCTTTTTTACGGTATTTCTTTGTAAATTCTAACCTGTTGTTTGTAGATAGAGCATTTTAAAACTCTTGATATATTATTAATTATGGCTATAAATATTGAAGATTCTACTACAGTTCCAGAGTTCTAAAGTTATTACAGATGATTCTTGACTTACAAGAGTTCATTTAGTGACCTTTCAGAGTTACAATAGCATGAAAAAAGTGACTTATGACCATTTTTCACACTTATACTGTTGCAGCATCCCCTTGCTCTTTGTTCAAAATTCAGATGCAGGGCAATTGGTTCATATTTATGACAGTTGCAGTGTCCAGGGGTCATGTGATCAGCTTTTGGGTCCTTCTGACAAGCAAAATCAATGTGGAAGCCAGATCCACTTAACAACAATGATTCACTTAACAACTGTTGCAAGAAAAGTTGTAAAATGCAGCAAAACTAACTTAATGTTTCACTTAGCAACATAAATTTGGGGCTCAATTATGGTCGTAAGTCGAGGACTACCTGTATCGGAGGCAGTGTTCCTCAAAGGCCGTAAAATCACTGTTCAGCCCTTTTCATGGAGCCCTGCAGGTATATCACAGGCCAGCCTATCTCTGAAAACCATGCTTAGGTGGAGTCAAGCAAATTGAGCCCCAACGCATGAGTTGAGTTGAGAAGGGCTGTATAAGTGGACAAATGTACATCCTTCAAATTTGCTGCATCTTTTGGAAGCCTTATGCACAATACTATGTAGGCCAACCCTGTCATTCCTTAATGTTTCATTAAAACCATTCAGGCCTTAGCATTAAACTTGAATTCAAACCGTTGCTTCATTTAGTTCCTCTTACATGATCTTTGTGATTCTATATATTTTCCTGTGGAAACATTTGCTCTTGTCACAGTTAAGAATTTGCATTTTTTTCCCCCAGTTCAGCTTTTCAGTTATGGTTCTGGATTAAAGGTTTTGGGAAAGTGTGACCAATAAGAGATACAGTACTAGTGTGTGTACATAGGTGTGTGCACATTTCTTCTCTTTCCTTGTCGTATTGACTAGGTACTTCCAGATTACAGTCTCAAACACATTATTGGGGGGAGGGGGAGCTCCAGACAATATTATTTTCCTTCTGCAACAATTGCATATTTCCCCCCCCCAGAGAACCTGTTAAGCAGTGAAAGGAAAAAACAATAGGCTGTCATCTGGAAGCACTTATTTTTCTCTTATAGTCTGATAATTATTTTTACTGAATACACTCTTTGTGTTGTGAGACCAGAAGATGGCATACTTGGGAAAAAATGTAACAAGTGAGATACCACTTTATGTTTTACAATTGGGCAGATATAACTGCATTTACAGTACCTGTGGCTTAGAACCAGAGTGTATATTTTTCTAAAATTCTTGGAAGCTAATTGATATAGAAAAGGGTGACAAAAGCAAAGAGGGAATTAAGTGAAGCAAATAATTTGATTCAAATGTACTCATTTAACAATGATATGAGTGATTCTTCTAATTGAAAAACCTCTTTCACAATAATGTTGTTAATTCAAAGGTTTTTGTTTACTTTTTTATTCTGTAGAATGGAGTACTAACAGTGAAACTGAGTGGAAATATGGGAACTTATGTAATCAATAAACAGACACCAAATAAACAGATATGGCTCTCTTCTCCAATCAGGTGAGTTTAGTTTATAGGTTAAAATGATTTGAAAATTTGTAGTTGAGCTAAAACACCTTTATGCACAATTCATTTATTAGGTATCATTCTGAAATTTCTAAATCAATAGTATGGCATTTCCAGATTGTTCAGATTCTAAACTTTGATGTCATAACAAAAATTTCCTGCTTAGCACATTGCCCAGAATTTTCTGGCTGTCAATCATATATAAACCAACTTGAGATTGCTTAACTTCCAAGCCTAGGTAAAGTCAGCTGAAAGCTGCTAACTGCTAATGCTTTTGTCTTAGTTGAAAGACTATTGATTACATGTGGGTTTGTGGAAGAAATACATAAACCATCCTTTGATTCTGTAAAATCTACTAGTAAATAAAATACTGAAGGTAGCTGAATGTGTTATTTGTTTTGTAAGCACACAAGATCCAAATAATAAGAGAGTGTCAGAAACTGTCAATTTCTGTTCTCTAGAACAGGGGTCCCCAACCCCAGTCTGTGGACCGGGACTGGTTGCGGCATGCCAGAAACCAGGTTGCGCAAACAAGCAAAGCCCCACCCACGGGATACAGGCAGCACGCGAAACCACACACCCTTCCAGTCCGCGGAAAATCCTCTCTCCAGGGAACGAGTCTCTGGTGCCCAAAAGTTGGGGACCGCTGCTCTAGAAGAATGCCTTAGTTTCTGGCTTTTTCATAGGGATGTCCTACTGGAATAGTGTATATTTATGCACCAATTGTTGTGCATAAAAGAAAGCATTTGTATGCTTTTGTATGCTGACAAATATTTTTACAAGCTAGTTGCCAGTTAAGTACATGTAAAATAATCCAGCAAGCAGATTCAAACCAGATGTACAATTAGATTACATACTAAATTTTGATACAAGGTGACTAAAAGAAATCTATTCTGTAGCTTTAAAAATATTAAGCACCTTAGAAAAATTGGGGAGGGGTAGCCACAAGTGTTTGCCTAACTTTTAAAGTTATTATAGAATAAGTGAAAAAACTAAAATTTCACAGGGATATTTTTTTCTAAAAATACTGAAGTAGTCTTGTTAACCAGATATGCAGACTTAAAGCATTGCTGCAGGTCTTATTCAAACTGTAGATTGCCAGTTTGAACAAAATATTACATTTTAATTTGATTGTGCTAGAGAGATATACACCAGTTGTAAAGCAAGGAATGAAGAGATGTGTGCCATGAGTATAATAAATGGCAAAATTCCAGCATTTCCAAAGGAATATGATGAATTTGAACTATATAATTAACAATTTGTCAAGTTTCCTTTTACGTTCTCCTATAGTACAGAATATAGAACAGGGGTTTTCAACCAGTGGTACGGGTACCGCCTGTGGTACATTGGCACCTGGCAGGTGGTACGCGACCATCCTAGAAAAGTGGTAGTGGGGGAGGGGAATGAGCTGAGTTGGTGGCAGCAGCGGTCAAGCCTGAGCGAGAGACGGCTGGAGCTGCAGGGCTGTCAGGGCTCAGCGGAAGCGCCAGGATCAGCGCCAGGCTCCAGCTGGAGCTCGGCGCTGATCCTGGCGCTTCTGCTGAGCCCAGAAGAAGCGCCAATCAGCTGGAATGTTGCAGCATCTCCAGGGTCTTGTGATTTACATTCGGATGCTTGGCAACTGATTCATATTTATGACGGTCACCGTGTCCCAGGGTCATGTGAATTGACGAAAACCTGCTGCAACCACCCAGCAGATGGGGGGGGAATAAAAACCAAACACCCCCCCACCCCACCCCCACTGCCAATCCTCAACAGAAATGCTCACAACAATGAAAACCTTGGACGGGGAAGAGCGCCGCCGGGCGCTGTCTTACTTGGCTGTGCCTTGGGCCCATTTTTCAGTGCCATTGTAACTTCCAACAGTCACTAAGCGAACTGTTGTAAGTCGAGGACTACCTGTACTTTATCACTTTTTTTCCTTTTTTTTTTTTTTGGTCATCAAGTTTTTTGACACCTTGCTAGGTGACTGGTGGTACTCGGATGTTGCCATATCCTAAAAGTGGTACAGTGGGTGAAAAGGTTGAAAAGCCCTGATATAGAATACTCTTCTCACATTTTAAGCAGGGTTATGTACAAGTTCTCTGAGTTACTGTGAACCTGTGATTTTACTTTATGCACTCTCTTTCATATTTTATAAACATTTAAATTTGAGCTCTCTTATGTGTTAATTTTTCACAGTGGCCCAAAGCGATATGACTGGACTGGAAAAAATTGGATTTATTCTCATGATGGTATTTCTCTTCATGATCTATTGTCCAAGGAACTTTCACTTGCATTAGCAATTGAACTGGATTTATCAACTTTAACACATGCTGGTGGAGAGCCTAATTCTTGATATCTATCTATAAAAATCCAAAGACTTTGGACTTAGACCCATTTCTTTCCTCCTCACCATACTCTAGTTTTAATATGTTTGTCCAAATTTAAATTCTCAAAACATTTGTTATTCAAATCTATTTTATTAAGCACTAATGGAAAAAAATTATATATATATATATATTGGCTTTACATGTTTTCGTTCTTTTTCTTGTGTTGCAAGGACAAAAGTGGTGAAATATTTCTGCAAGATGGTATCCAGTTGTAGAAGTGTGATATTTGCATGAGGGTTGCCAGCCAGACTGGATGCTTTTGCTATATGTGTACTCCACTATCAATAACTTTTATAATGCAATGTTCAATGGACCTGCCATAATCAAGTGGTGTGTCCAATATATCATAATATGTCCCACCACAGAAGGCCAGTGTATACAATCATTTCTAAGTGGCCTTTGTGTGAAGCCCCCCGATAATTCTTATAGTGAATCTAATTAGTGGGATATTTATTTTTTAAATAAGAAACAGACTAACTGAAATATTATGCCTACCTATTTCATGTATATAATTAGAAAACCTAGATTTATGTTTAACTTTGAAATAAGGAGTGGAAATTATTAAATAATAATGAACTGCATAGAAAAACTTGGATTAAGGGCAACATCCTCCTTAATTAAATGCAACATTAGATTTTAAAATGTTTGAAGAAACTAGGACTATGCAAAGCAGTTGAAAAATTGTTTTTGAAGCATATTTTGGAAGATATCATGGCTGCTTCAAAAGATATTCTCAATCCGTTGTCCTAAATTACAAATTTAGAGAATGCCTGTATAAGATCTTATTCTCTAGTTCAGACATAGGGAACTTCAGTCCCAACTTTGGATTGACTTCCAATAATTTTCTGAGGACCAAAGGACAGGGACCAGGCTTCCTGAGACCTTATTTATATATACCTCTCACAAAGACACATTGTTAACACTTAGTCTTTCCTGCTGGGGTAAACACAGGAGGACCAAGGTGTTCTTGGTTTGGGAAGCCTACACTTAGTGTGGGAAGCATACAGGTGGTCCTCGATTTACGTCCATAATTGAGCCCAAAATTTATGTTGCTAAGTGAGATATTTGTTAAATGAGTTTTGCCTCATTTTACAACTTTTCTTGCCATAGTTAAGTGAATCATTTCAGTTGTTGAGTTAATAACCCAGTTGTTAAGTGAATCTGCCTTCCCCATTGCAAAAAGTGTTTACATAATCCAGGGACGCTACAACCATCAGAAATATAAACCAGTTGCCAAGCATCCGAATCTTGGTCACGTGACCATGAGGATGCTGCAGTGGTCATGAGTGTGAAAAATGGTCATAAGTCACTTTTTTTCAGTGACATTGTAACTTTGAACGGTCACTAAATGACCTGTTGTAAGTCGAGGACTACCTATACACAGACCTTGGAGAAAGAGCAAAGCTTTTGGGGACCTTCTGTGACCAAGGGAAGCTTGCAAGCCAAATTCTGTTCACAGACTGGAAGCTGCTGTAGTTACATACAACCCAAGAACGAATGCAAATTTGAAACCAAACTCAGACAAAACTGAAATGATGAGGGTTAGCTCTTGACACTTATATGGGGGCTGGCTGACTGAATTTCACAACATTTGGATGTAGCAAAGAAGATTCATGTATTGTGGACTTTTTCTCTTAAATGGGACCTAGTTTTTGTAGTTTCACTGTCCTTTAATCATAATGTCCTCTAACAATGAGCTAGGGTAGTACCGTAGTAAACTATAAAAAGTCAGTTTTTCCATTAGTAACAGCATTAAAATGGCTTTCCATGTTAATACAGTTTTGTGCTGTAGAGAAAAGAGAAGCCAAGAGAAATTTGGGTCACCCCCCGCCTAAGAATTTAATCTATATAAATAAAAATGTAAATGTTCGTTTGTTCAAAATCTTAAATCTCCAAAAGTTCTTCACCGATTGCTTTGAAATTTTGACACAATGTTGCATTCGAATACGCACGTGTTTTTATACACCTATATTATATAGATGTCACACCTGTGACAGGTAAAAACATGTTTTTTTAAAAAAAAACCGCCATCTGTTGGACGTAAAAGCATACCCACAAGCATTGTGAAATTAAACATATTACAAACGTGAGCTTTCTCTTTTCTTTCTAAGCCAAGAGAAATTTGGGTCACCCCCCCCTAAGAATTTAATAATTTTAATAAAAGTAAATACTTCCAATACCATTTAAACAAGATGCATTATTTTAACCATTGTTGTAACCCCTGAATTTAGTTCAACAAATTTCTTCTTAAATGTACTTCTTAAATTATTTCCTTAGATTTGAATCATGTTTGTGCTTGCCTTATATTTACAGTACTCTGAAAAGGCAGAGTTTAATGGTGAAAGGTAAGTTCCTCCCCCAGCCAGCATTCGATGTAAAGAGCACATTGTACTCATTGAACGATGAGATAGGATCTCTTATTTGCTGGTTACAAACGTGCTACAACACATCTAATTTCTGGAGTTCTGCATTCTTTCAAATGTTAGAAATGTTAAATATTTCTTCGGACATTGAGCACTTTGGGATTTTTATTAATATTGTCAAATCTGAACATGAGTAACAGGGAAGCTTTTGGGAATTGAAAGGAGCCTCAAGATTTTCAGGAAAAAAAATGTGGGTGGGAAAAAAAACCTCAAAAACCCCATTTAGAGTGTCATCATTCTCAAGAGCAATGAACTCTGGTTGACTGTTTAAAAAATCTATAGTTCTGTAACTCAGACTGGGAATGAATGTTTGTGTCTGTAATTTTCTACCTTCTTGACAACATTGACAACATAAGTGAGATCTTCATGATTTTTCTTGATTCCTGGTAACAAAAAACCCTCACTTTTTGTCTCACAAATTCAAATAAAAATGAAATTGCTACTAAAAAGAATATAAGTGGATTTGGATCATCTGTATTTGACATCAATAATGTTTTTGATCTGTATTTTCAATAAATTGTGGTGCCCTCAGATCAAATAACTTTCTAGTGGTGATGGTAGATTATAGATAACCCTAGTACCGCTTCTAGTATCAAAATGGGAGCATTGAACTAGCATAAAGACAGGAAGTCTCTGCCAAGGAAACTAACTTAAAATGAAGGAAGAAGGAAACTAAATCTTAAGGCACCGTATTAATTGATATGACTGATATGATAGAATAGATCTCTAATAGTATGTGTTCTTTTGTTCTCCAATGCATCCAGACTATTGTAGGTGAGCCCATGGAGAGAAAGCTTGCATAAAACCCATAAAGAAACACAAACACATAAAAGGTTTCTATTTATGACCTTTGTGGACCTGAGACATTTAGGATCTCTCACATGCGCAGGATCACTCGCAGTATTAATGGAACTGGGGGACATGCAGAAATGAGGGATGGAGGTCTGAACATTATTGTAGCTCTACAAAGCAATTAAAAATCCTCACTAAACATAGAATCCTAAGAAATATAGGTGATTCCAACATGGCGCAACTGTATGATTGTTTAGGCAAGTCCACTATTAGTTGCTTGCTTTTTGACAGATTTAAGAAGAGATGGAAGCTGGAGGGAATACTACTGTATCTAGGTGTGTCACCTAAACATGTCAAATGCAGACTCCATCAGGGATCATACCTGAATCTTCCGGATTGTGATTGCATCAAGTAGATCAAAGTTAAATGACATGAAATGGATTGAACCGCTCCTTGCTCTCAAACATTTGCCTTGCTGATAAGTCTGTGAGGAATAACTTGGGACTAATAAAAATATTATCATCATTGGAAGATTTGGGTGTGATAAGATATATCAAAGGTACACAATGAAGGGTATTCATACCATGTACTTACACTGGACATTTGCCATAGTACATAGTCTTAAGTTGAGGCACCCACATGATCGGACCCATTTTTTAAAATATTTTTTGTGGCAGTCATTAAGCAAATCACAAGGTTCATAAACAATGCAAGTGAACCCATTCTTCTGAATGAATGCAGTCTGCAGCAAAAAAATCGCAAAGCATAGCCATGTGACTGGCATGTTGTAACCAATCATAAACGTTGCAAAGAGTCTTTCTGAGAGAAATGGGTGGTTTTTACATTTGATAAATAAAAAATAAGAGCAGCCACATGACCATGCAGGATGTATATGTATGACATTTTACAATGGCCAGAAGTGCTTTACAGAGTGTAAATACCCATTCTGAGGCCATTGTTAACTCCGAATGGTTGTAAAATAGAAACAGACCACTATCGCTCAGACTATTCAAACACACTAACTCAAAATATAATTTGCTTGTATCTGATGTATCATAGCAGAATCTTTTGCTCAGAAGGTTATGGAAATAGGGTGTGAGATGATCCCAGATCTTCAATCACGTTAGTTGTCACCAGAGCTACACTATTATAAATCAAAGTCAGGAAGTATGTGCACGGAGCTCTGAAATATACATCTTGGAGATCCAAAACTCAGGCTCATTTCAACAACTTTGCATTTTATTCAGCTTGCTCTACCTGTACAGCCAACTTATCACAAAAGTAATGGGTAACAAACTATTATTTGTTTCCTAGATGAGATTACAACGGCAGACACTCAGTGCCAGCCAAGAGTTACACTTTTCTTTACCCCTTAGCTGCTATCCAGTGATCTCGTGGATCCTTGCCATTCAAACTTGATCGCCCTAAGATAGCCATTGACAGGCTGAACCGGCCTTGGAAGTGAATATCCAGCCTTGGAAGTCCCTCTCAAACTTGCTCATTCCCTTCACAAGAGAGTTTCAACTGGGATCTGGGCTGAAGCCAAACGAAAGCCGCACAATGACGAATGCCCCAGTGTCACCACTGACTCGACTTCCTTGCGTTTATCAGAGTTTTGCTTTGAACCGGTATTTCCTGTTCCAGAGTCAGGACGGTGGAATGGAAGACCACGGAGGGGAACTGAGCTTGCTTGCTGGCCAGTGCAAAATGGTGAATGCCCTTTGGTTACAATTTTTTTCCCGGAACGGTTCAGCGGCTGTCCCAAGCGCTACGTGCAACTAGTGGGCACACGTGCTGGGACACGCGTGTCTGCACTTCTGCGGGCCGTAATGCAGAAAACTCGACTGAGAAGAGTAGGGCTGAAAGTCAAGGGCTCAAACAGGGGTCAGGTGCTTTGTAGTTCAGGTGCATTGCAGGGACCTAACCCGGGCATGGGTCAAAAGGCGACCAAGCACACTTGGCCGTGTAGTTGGGGTAACCTGAGCCTCTGGACTTTGTAGTCCCATTTCGACGCCTTCCCTTCGGAATACCAAACCCTCCGAGGGGGCCAATTGTGCCGCCCGGGACACTCAACTTCTCCTCTGGAGTCCTGCTCGAAAGGCGCCGCCTCGCCATCTAATCACATCCTCGGGTCCGGCCAGTCCCCTCCTCCCCTCTCTCCCCCTTCTTCTCTCTCCTTTTATTGTTTGGCTCGCCGTGGAACGGTTTGGCTCTGGCGGAACGGTGGTGGCAATTGTGGCTGGGTGGCGGAGGTGAATCTACGCCAAGAGACAGCGGCGCTTCTTTCTCCGGGCAGGTGTCTCCCCCAAACTCTTCTAGCCGTGCCTCGTCCTTCCCATTCGGGAGGGAGGCGAGCGGCGTGAGCGTGCTTACCTGTTTGCTACGACCGTGCAGCCGCGCCCTTGAGAAAAGACCGCCTCCCAGGTTAGTTTTCCTGCCTCCTCGAAACAGGAAATGGGTTGAGTCAGGAAAGGCTCCAGAACAGAGACTGCCCTCCCTTCTCCCGGGCAGCTTCCACCTCCGACGGGCATTCAGAGGCGCGGTTTCTGCCTGGATCGCGGTCATATCTCCAGGGGCCGTTCCACATTCCAGCGACGTCTTCCAAGGACCGGGCGGTTTCCTAAACGAATTCTTTTCTACTCCAGGTAATTGTTGTTCTTTCTTTCTCTTTACCTGTTGGGAGTGTGGGCGTGTGCTCCTTTTTTTTT